GATCCGAACCTGTGGCCTTGGTGTTATCAGCACCGCACTCTCCCGAGTGAGCCACGGTCCGGCCCGAGTCCAAGTCATTTTTTAAAAAACTAATCCTTCTGAGGAAGAGATGAAATCCCAAGTAGAAAGGAGGAATGAAATGAATGGCAAGGGGTGCGAAGATCCTGGCAGTCGTGACTTAGAAAGTAAGGGGCAAGAGAAGTGGGCTGTGTCCTGCCTCTGAATAATGGGAAATGCAGTCACCATTGGGGACAATCACCACAGCTGTTTGTTTTTGTGTTTCCTAGCTTTCTGGGAGAGCTCACCTCCAGGTAAGCCACTTCTCCTTCCTTCTCTGCTTGATTCCCAGCATGTTAAAGACACCAAACCTGGGGCTCCAGATCAGTAACTGGTGAATGCTGCTTTTGGGGCAGCTACACTCAGAGGTCCCATGAAATGATGCCCACTGCCTTCAGATGCATCATGAAAACCTTGGCAAATAGGTGTGAGGCTGGGATGCTTCTTTGAGACCACAGCTTGGCCTGCACCTGGGTAAGGATATACACTCACACACACACACACACACACCCAGAAAACTGGCACACTCTGTGTGGCTGGCTTGTGTGTGTGCGTGGTAAAATACACATAACAAATTTTACCATTTAACCATTCTAAAATGCACAATTCAGTAGCATTAAGTACACTTACAATGTTATGAGGCCATCACCACTATCTAGTTCCAGAACATTTTTACCACCCAAAAAGGAAATTTCGTACCTATCAGTAGTCACTCTCATTTCCCGTCCCTGCAGCTCTTGGCAGTCACTATTCTGGATATTGCATATAAATGAAATCACATAATATGTGGCCTTTTTCTGATTGATTTCTTCCACTTACCATAATTTCTTCCCGCAGCCTTCACCATGGCCTGCTGTCCAGATTCTGCCAGGCAATTTACCTGTTGTGTAGTTTTCTGGCGGGTGGGTCCTTGAGCCTTGGCCTAACAAAACCGGTGTATTATCATGATTATTTTGGCAGCTGGAGATAAAAGTGAGTTGTCCAAACTGGGTCAGGACTCAGTGCACCTTCCCGCTTCAATTTACAATGGACTTTTGAAAGGATCTGAAAAAGGTGGAGAGGTGGCTCCACCTGATGTGGCATCAGCGCTGGCCTCGAAAGTGCTGGCCAGACTCCCTCAGGTGTGCCAGTTCTGTCCCCCACTGTGCCAGGCCCCGGTGCACACACACAAGAATG